CTTAGGGGGGCTGGGGAGAGGTGATGTATTTCAGCCATAACACCAGAAGAGACTGAGTTGTTATTTGAGGTAACAATATAAGGTGACCTTGTCAGCACCCCAAGGTGGTGAGTAGTGTACACAGCGCTCACATTCCATTTGAATAACTTGACAATAAGGGCCTGGCAAGTAAAGTCCTTCCCTTCTGCATTGTTCTAAACATGAAGATAGCAAGGTAATCTGAGAATTAGTGAAACACTCATGTCAGCTGTGACTCATTTTCACTCTTTCTAAATCAACAAAGCAATTTAAATTTTAATTTGAAAATTCAGTTACCTGTTGTCCCTTCCCCTCAACAGCTGCAGCATTTCATTTCAGGCAACACATATTCCCAATCATGTATCTTGGAACACAGTTAGTTAAATACTTTAAGTCTATCAAGTGTGAGCTTTGGAGTTAAGTCAGCTGGGATGATCTTTTTTAGATGCCTGAGGAATGAAAACACTAAAAGTGCTTGGAGAGACAGGAAATAATCTCTTTCTAGGGGTATTGCGTCTGTGTGCTCTGCTCCACATTTTTTCCCCAACAAAACATTGAAACAAACAATAACGGAAGCATTTCTGTCTTTCCTTCTGCAGAAAGAAGGCCTGAGGAGGCTTCTGCACTAGTTAATGTGATTGCATTGCATGCTGAATGCCCTAAATTCTCCTCCACGAATACTTCCAGAAGACGGTTCAATTATTGGATTTCTTTCTACAACAAATTCCTGAGAAATAGAACACATAAAAGAGAAATTAAAGAGAAAAGATCACTCACAATATGGATATGGAACGTAGCCTAAGGTGATTTCTTTAACTCTCAGCATCTTGACTGCTTTAGTTCTGGAGTCTGGCAGGGAGGAGGTGGAGGCCTAGGATAAATCTCTGCAAGGGAGCTTCAGGACCCTCCATCTTCAAGCTGCCACGTAATATGTTTAGACAAAGAATGAACACTAGATGGCGCTCAGAACCTTAAAACATAGTAAAAGGCCAGTTCTCTTTTCTGTACAGGTAAGAATGTAAGAAACAATTATGGGAACTATAAAAATATCTTCTCAAGCATTTCTCACCACTGTTGTCCTGTGAAGTACTCCTTATGTAAGGATTTGGTGGTCAAATATATTTGGGAAACCATATATTTTATTTGCTCTAGGAGATTTTCAATGCACATTGGTAAACATGTTTTTGAGAAGTTCTTCACTGAAGATGCCTGTACCAAGGAACCTATTACAGTAGGAACCTAGTACAATCCTGTTGTTTCAGTGTTCCATGAAACACACTTTGGGAAACGCTGATCTAATCCAAGTACTATCCCAAGGAAGGAGCAGCCCAAACTATCTAAAAGAAGCCTTCTTTATGCACGATTATTTGACTCTTTAAAAAACATCAAATCTGTTCTTAAGTCAGAGTTATTAACAGTAATAGCAACATTGATTGAATACTTACAATATGACATGCTGTTTTAAGTGTTACTGCCCCTTCTCTTTCCTCAGTGTGTGTGTAAATTATGTAGGAAGATTCTATAGTCTGCGTGGGAGAATAATTCTGGAGAATAGGAATGGACATTCTGCCCCTGATTAGAAAGGCAATTGTCTATTAAGCAAACTCTCTTATCTATGAAGAACAATAGAGAGCAGTGACCTACCCCCCAGCTCCCTTCCCTGGGGATTATATTTTCCTTCTCTGAACTTACTACATTATTCTAAGAATGACTTATTTGCAAATTAATCTTACACGACCTAATACATACTGCATTTTTATTTAGCTCTTGATTGTTATGTAGAGTTTGTTTTGTGTTTTCCAGGAAGGTATAGCTTGTCCCTATATTTCCAGTGAAAGTTGTAGATGTAAAATATTTTATTTTCCATATTCCATGTAATAATTTAATTCTGCCATTTTCTTTCCATTTTGTAATGTTTGAGCTTCTGAAACCAGCTTCTCCTTTTCTGTCAGTGTTAATCAATGAAATTCCAACACTGAGTCTTGAAACTAGCTACTTTCTAGCCATAGGTTAAATAAATTTTACCAAGCCAAAAAGAGAAATGTTTCCTCTTCTCTTTCAACTGAAAAATACAGATAATATTTTCAGCATCGAATGTATGGAGGTTAAAACGAAGCCTATGGTTTGGTGGATTTCCTATTTATATAGAACTAGAGAGTCTAATGTCATCTCTGTGCCTCAGTTTCTTCATCCTTAAAATGAGTATAATAAGGCAGAGTGTTGCTATAAGATTAAATGAGTTATAATAGTGACTAAACCGAAAGTACTATGTAAGTATTAGTTCTGTGTTCCTGAATGTGGTTCAAGAAAGTGCTGAATAGAGACTGTTGACACAATTTTGAAGAGAGAATGTGCTATGAGGAGAAAGAAGACTGACTTTCGGCCAGGAGACCTAATTGTGGGTCCAGCTTCATGGTCAGCAGCTGTGGATCTTTAGACAGATCATGCATCCTTTCTGAATCCCCTTTTCCTGATTTTGAAAATTGGAGTTGTAATAATAACGTATCCTGGGACTTAGAATGTCTTCGAGTATCCCTAGAATTAATGTATGTGACAGTGCTTTGTATGCAGGTTGACTGTAATGAAATGACAGAGTGGTCCCCCAGTCTACAGATTTTAAGCCAGGATGATGAAGATCTGTCAGTGTGCTTTAGACAGAATCTTAGAGTCAATCTTTCAGGCTATAGTGACTTCTTAAAGTGCCACCATATTTATACAACATACTTTTTCATTCGATAAACTTTTTTCAGAGACTGCTAGGTACCAGGCACTATGCTAAATATTGAGGATACAAAATCATGTAAAATAGAGAATTTGATTTCAGGGAGCTTTATCGCTTAGTATAGGAAGACAAACATGTAAACATATGTGGGAAATAAGGTTTAATAGTTGACAATTATATTTTATATATCATTTAAGTGTTGAAGAAGTAGGTGAGGGAAGTAGTTAAGGGGTGACACTCAGCTCTTGGATGGCAGAACAAGGTCCTGTCAGGGAACCTTACCCTATTTCTCCAATACGCAACATCCTTTCAGAGCTCTGCAAGCAAAAAGTGAGTAGGCAGAGGCCTGCATGTGTGAGAGAACCACAGAGACACATACATCAAGGTCATCATGTAGACTGCCGGACACTTTACTCAGGTCAACTGACTGTTTGCTATTTAAGTAAATCTTGTGTGAATGAGTGAGAGAGAGAGAGAGAGAGAGAGAGAGAGAGAAATCTGCCATTTGTTTAGGAGTTGAAATGATGGCTAATAAATATAAAGTCACTTAGAAAATTCTATCTACAAATCCTGGCTATAAAATGAGAACAAATTTTTCTAAGCACACAATGAAAACCATACATTAAATGCCTCGTTGAGTTATGAACCATAATTTCAGCCATAAGAATTGGCTCCTTATGTAATTCTCGATTATTATTTGCATTATTACCAAAATTCCACCATGGGCAGAAACACTCACTTGGATTCAATCACCTGTCATACCAGGGAAGTAGCTTGATGTAGTGGAAAGAAACAGTCAATAAATATTTAAACAAATAAAAGGAAATGGGGAAAGAAAGCAAGAGGAAAGGAAAAACAGAAGGAAAGGAGAAAGGGAAGAAGGGAGGGAAGAAAGATTGGAGGTAGAGAAGGGAGAGAGTAGGTGTGACAGACATTAAAATTGAAAGTTTAAATCCCAGCTCTGACTCTCTAGTTGGGTAAATTTTGACAAGTTACTTAATCTCTCTAAGTCTTATTCTCTTCATCTGAACATGGGGTAATACCATTCAGGGTGACTGTGAAAATTAAAAATTACTTTTATAGCTATGCAAGATGAGTGAGTCCTAGAGATCTACTGTACAGTGTGGTGCCTCTACTTACCAATACTGTATACTTAAATATTTGCTGAAAGGGTGGCTCTTATGTAAGTGTTCTTATCGCATACACACAAAACAATAAATCAAAAGGTCCAGAAGAAACTTTTGGAGATAATGGACATGTTTACAGCATAGACTGTGGTGATTATTTCATGGGTATATATATATATCTCCAGACTCATTAAGTTGTATACATTAAACATGTACAGCTTTTTGTATGTCAATCAAACCTCAATAAAATGGTCTTAAAATTACTTTTATAAATGCTTGATAAATAATAGGTGCTTAATGAATTGTTGCTGATAATTCTTAAATTGAGGTAAATGGTACTGCTGCTATCACTTATCACCATTAGCAAACTGTGTATAGCATTATCTTATGCATTTTCTTACATAGCTGTATGCACTAAACTATGTACATTATAATGGTGTTGTTTTTATAGTATGGTCTTGAGTTTGGAGGACAAATTTGTTTGGTTTTTTTTTTTTTTTTGAGACAGAGTCTCACTGTGTTGCCTGGGCTAGAGTGCCGTGGCATCATCTTAGCTCACAGCAACCTCAAACTCCTGGGCTCAAGCGATCCTCATGCCTCACCTCCCGAGTGGCTGGGACTACAGGCATGCGCCACCATGCCCGGCTAGTTTTTTCTATATATTTTTAGTTGTCCAATTAATTTGTTTCTATTTTTAGTAGAGATGGGGTCTCGCTCTTGCTCACGCTGGTTTCGAACTCCTGAGCTCAAACAATCCACCTGCCTCGGCCTCCCAGAGAGCTAGGATTACAGGCGTGAGCCACTGCGCCCAGCCCAAATTTGTTTTTTAATAAAATAAGTAATATACCATTTTAAAAAGGCATGCTTCTCAATGTTCTCTTAGATGTAAATGTGTCTCAGAAAAATCTAACATCTCAGAAAACACTAGCACCTTCACCTTTATCTGAGGGAAGTAAATGCAACAAACATCAAGCACCTGAACATCATTTAAACTGCGATATGCACTTGAAACCATAATGCCGCTACCCATTTCTCCTTTTTAATTAAGGTGCTTTTGGTGTCATAACTGAAAGTGCCTTTTTCACAAATGGTTTCAGACATGGAGGGAATGAAGACTAAAAAGAAGTACTCACCGATAGGATCTGGTCTCCTCTCTGGAGCTCCCCACTCAGGTCTGCTGGTCCACCGGCCAGAATGAAGGATACAAAAATACCTTCTCCATCTTCCCCGCCCACAATGTTGAAGCCCAGGCCAGTGGAGCCTTTGTGCAGGACCACCTTGCGGGGCTCCCTGCAGAAAATGGAGAACACAGCTCACAGGGTGACCCATTCAAGATTTAGGTTGCTTTTACTTTCATTAGGATATATGATAGCAGCAATTCACTACCTATGAAAATGGTTTCCCGAAGTTAGATACATTTGCACATCAAGAAAGAGGCTGATATCAGGACAGATGTCTGAGTTTCTTACTTAACACTTACCAAAATACCATGCAAAATCATTCCTTAATTCTAAAACATTTTCTTAAACTAGTTGTACTTCCACTTTTCCTTTGTTTAAAACATCTGTTCTTGCATTGAGCACCACGCTTAGCGGGATAAATGTATACAAAAGGAGGGAGGGATTTTTGGGGATAAGAGACAAGATTGAATGGCCAGATCATAAAAAATCTTATGTGCCAGCCTGTGGGTTTGTTGTTTGTTTGAGTGTCAATTAAAATTTATTCTGTAGGCAGTAGGGACTCATTGGAAGATTCTGAGGCATTAAAAATATTTAAATCTGTTTGAGGAAGATGGTCATATGTGGAGTTGATGGTGAGGGAAACACAAATAGGACAGAAGCAGGAAAACCATGTAGAATGTTGTCCAAGTAATCCAGGAGTGAGGAAGTGACAGCTTGAACAAGGGTGACAACAGTGAGAATAAAAAGGGCAACATGAAAGAAGACATTTAAAGGGAGATGCAGTGGGACCAGAGATTGACTCAGGCATTAGAAAAGGAGAAGAGAACGCATCTAAATAACTGGCAAAGGAGGTGGGAGTGGAATCCAGAGTCAGGAGGATTAGTGTGATTTTGACATACCCAGTTCCAGGTAATGGTGAAATATCCATGTGGAGATGTTCCGAAGCAGGTGGAGACAAAAGATAGGTATTTGGTCCTCAGAGAGGACTGTAAATGCAGATTTGAGGGTCATCAATGAAAAGGTGAGAGATCAAATCTTGAGCCAATAATTCACTGCCTTTGTGCAGAGGTTATAAAATTATGGAATTATAGAATTGCAAGGAATATTAAAAGGCATCTAATTCAATTTTCTATATCAGCAGTTTTAAAAATGTGTTCTGTAAGCTTCAGGTTTGAGCAAGATGTCTTTCGTATCACCCACCCTCATCTCCCAAATATCACAGTTCCAATCACTGAAAGTCCTCTTCTGTTTTCCTGCTCTTAATGATGTAAGAATGGTAAAGAGCCATCCAATATATTTTTATACTACTGACCATATAAAGAGTTTGTTATGTGCTATCACATTTCCATGCATAAGCAATATCTATGATTAGCCTTATTATGAGGAAGAGTTTAAAATGCACATCACAGTAAGTGATATGTCACATAGCAATATGATGAATTAATTCAAAGGTAAATTAATGAAGAATTAATTCATTTTATTCTATAAATACTTTGTAAGCACCTACTGTGCCAGGAACTATTTCAGATGCTTAGAATGTTTGTGAACAAAGCAAATATCTCTGCCCTTGTGGGCTTGCATTCTAATGAGGGTAGGCCATTAATAAACAATAGATGCAATGAATAAGTTCATTATATAGTACGTTAGAAGGCAATAATTATTTTGGAGAAAAAGGAAAAGCAGAGCAGTGTAAGAGGAATAGGTTGTAGCAGGGGCAGTCCTGGGTAGGATTCATTGAGAAGGTGACATTTGAGGAAAGACTGAAGAGGTGAGGAAACTAGTCAGGTAGATATCTAAGAAAGAGCATTCTAGCCAGAGGCAACTGTCAACACAGAGATCCTAACAGGGAGGGTGCCTGGTGTTATCAAAGAAGAACTAGGAGGCCAATGTGGTTAAACTGAGTGAATGAGGGAAGGAGAGTGGTAAAAGATGAAAAAGTCAGTGTTATAGTTTTCTATTGCTGAGTAACAAATTATCACAAATTTAGCAGCTTAAAACCATACCCATTGTTGTCTTACAGTTCTATAGATCAGAAGTCTGGGTGACCTTGACTGGGTTGTCTGCCTAGGATCTCATAAGGCCGAGGTCAAAGTGTCAGTCAAGCCAAGCTTTATTGGGAAGTTCTGTGGAAAAAATCTGCTTCCAAATTTATTCAGGTTTTGGCAGAATTCAGATTTTTTTTTGATTGTAGGACTGTACCGCTTAGGGTTCTCTAGAGAAATAGACCCAACAGGACAATAGGAATATGTATATTCCTACTGGCTCCAGGAGAGCCAATGGTGGGTCCAGGCTGAGTCTGAGTCTGAAGGCAGGAGAAAACTGATGTTCCAGCTTGAAGATGATCAGAAAGAAGCAGCAAATTCTTCCTTACTCAGTTTTATTGTTCTATTCAGGCCTTAAATGGATTGGATGAGGCCCAGCCACATTGGAGAGGACAATCTGCTTTACTTCAAATGTTAATTTAATCTAGAAACACCCTCACAGGGCTATTAGTGTGCCCATCACCCATTAGGTAGGTTTTTACACCTCCCCTCCTCTCCCTCCCCACTGCTTGATTTCCATTGACTTTTACTTCCCTCTGTGCACATGTGTGCCCATCAGTTAATTCCATCCAACCTTTCAATAAACAAACATCTACAGAGTACCTACTTCATGTTAGGCACTATGAATACAAAGATTAAAGAGCCTGGGGTAGGAAGACCACATGTAAACAAACACTTATAAAAGCCCAGGAACAGGACAAGTGCTATGACAGAGACATATAAACAATAAGCTAAAGTAGTCAAGAGTAAGAAGTGACCAGCCCTTTTCTAAAAAGATTTTATCCTTTTATCATCATCACTGAGATGAAATGTGCTATATTCATTTGTGCGGTTTTATTTTTCTCTTAATATGATGTAAAAAGCCTTTATAATTACAAAACCTTTGGATGCTGGAAAGTTGGAGAGATGCCATGCTGACCTACTTCCAGCTGTGTAATCTTGTTTAGCTGGAGTCTTGGAGGATGCTCTAAGCCAGTGGGATGTTTTCAGGAGAAGGGAGTAGGGTGTTAGGGGCTATCTTTCTCTCTTTATACCAGGTGGCTTAAAAGGGTTCAGGATTCAAAAAGGAAAATGACTACTCAAACTTGAAGACTTTCTTATGACCATTAGTGGGCTGTCCTTTGAATTTTGAGCCTCTGGGATTTGTGAAGTCACTTCAGTCAACTCTTAAAACATCCCTGGTGAGAGGCTATGTTGAGTCGTGGGAATTAAGGCATAAAAATGTTTTCAGGCATCTTTCTAAAAGTTCTTATCTGACCATGTTACTTTCTTGCTCAAAAGCCTTCTAAGGATCTATATGCCTTCAGGATAAGGTCTAAACCTCTAAGCATGGCACTCAAAGCTCCCCATCATTTGACCTTCATCTATTGCTCCAATACCTAACTTCACTGAGCTCCCTCATACCCCATGTTTCAGTCATACAAAGCTGCCAACCATAGCTCCCATCCCAGGTTGTCCCTCACCGTCTTTATCCTGGTTGTTCTCTTTGCCTGGAAGGATACCTTCTCCTGCTATTCTCCTCTATCTAATGAACTTCTACTTGGCCTTCAAGACTGAGGCCAGGTGCCTTCTCCTCTCTTTCGCCCCCTTCACCCTCAGCAGAAGAACTGACAACTTCTTTTTTGAAACCACATTGGTCTTTCATTGAGCATACCACTATCATTGCCTTTACTGTTCTGAAATTACTTTGTTTACCAACCCATTTTTGCTGTGAATCTTTATAGTCCTGAAGGATAAAGGACCTTAAAGTCCCTTTTTATTTTTGTAATTTTAGGAACTAGTACAGATTGAATATATAAGAGACAAAATGAGACAATATGTTTCATCCATAAAGAAAAAAAATAAGTGAGGAGAAATGACATTGAGTTCTGGTTCCACCTCTTTAGGGATGTGTGGGCACCCAGGCATGTCCTCTGTAGCTCAGCTCCTCGCTTAGGTAATGGCGGGAATAACGTTTGCCTCATGGGAAAGTGGTAAAACTCAGAGGAGACAAAGAGCTAAAGGCATCTAGAAAACTGAGAAGTGTGAAAGAAAGATATACGTTGAGATTCCATTTCCAGTCATTTGGCAGATTCGATGTTCTGAAAACCCCTCTCATTACAAAGCAGCTCAAAATTCTCAATAAAATACTTATAAAATATTTTTAAATGCATGGCTAAGCTTGCGAGTAAGAGAAATCCTCAGAAGCTGAAAGTGAAGCAGAAATCAGAAGAAAGCAAGTGCCGAGAATAGAAGCTGACTGAAGGGCAAAGAGCTAGTGTTTCAGTGTCTAGATTTCATAGCTGCATAGAGAATAGGATTATGTGGACCCAGAGGTAGGATCAGATCAGAGACCCTGAGCAAAATTAGAACCCTGAAAGGCTACACTCTAAATAAAAGGATAAAGTACAAAATATTAGCCTCTCAACAATGTCAAGGATATATATTATTATTTACCCTGACCTTGGCTCAAAGCAAGAAGAGAGCGCCTGGGGAACTAATCAAGGCATGTTTGAATGTGGAAGTTACACTTTAGGAATAGAATTCACATGGCTGAATAAATTGGGAGAAGAAAGGAGGGTGGCAGGATAAAGAACTTGGCGATCTCTCCAGCATTGTGGGGCAGCTCCAGCTCCAGGTCACTGACATGAATGTGCTGCCCTGGTTCATTGAGGTAACACATGAGATGGGTTCATCTGGCCCTCCTAGCTCAATGACAATAGCCATTAATGTCATCTGGGTGGCTCATTTCCCTCTCTGAGAGCACAGGCTCACCAAGCCACATGCTCATTAAAATATGATTTCCCACAGTGCTTTCCCTATGGGGAGTAGTGTGCTATTTAGCACATTCTAGTATCTTGAGCAGTTATATATTTTCCATTGTAAATTAATAACTTTGTATTACAGCACATAAGCTTGATCACTCCTAGATACATTGACAAAAATTGAGTTTCAGAGAATGTAGATCTAAGGTCCAGATCCAGTACCATGATAACCCAATGAGGGGATGCTAGTTGTTGGAAGTTATATATGAAGAGCCAGCTAGTTTCCTTGAACCTTCTTTTTTTCATTTCTCTATAAATGCAAC